TAAAATGTTTATCAGGATATCAGCAACATTTTACTAGTTAACCACTTTTTGATATCTTTCACAGAAAATGAGATATATAGGCTCAAAGTGGACGATCCGGGTGTCGTTCTATTAGAGGTTTTACGGTAACTGAAGTTCTGAATTTTCTAATTCCTAAAAATAATTTTTCGAATCATAGCAAAAAAAATATAATGTTTTCTAAAATTTCGGAAACTTTTCGAATTCATAGAATTGGAAATTTGGAATTTCTGGGGTTTTGAGAATATGAGATCCCAAAACTCGAAAAACTTTTAAATCCTGTTTTTTTCTGGAAAACAAAGCTGACTTTCAGAAATTTTAAGTTTCTGTCTTTTTAAATTTCTGGAAAGCGGGACTTCTGAATTTCTGAATTTCTTAGAAGTTTTGATTCTTTGAACTTCCGATTTTTTGATTTTCTGATCTCCGAATTGTTTTAATGTCCAAATTACTGGATTTCTGATTTTCTGGTTTTGGGATTACTGAGTTTTCGAATTCCCAATTTATGAATTCCAGGTTTGCCGAATTTCCAAATTTATGTGGTTTTTGAACTCCAGAGTTCTTCTTCAAGGATTTTGAAATCTAGAATTTCGAGAAATCATAAAATTCAAAAATCCAACTTTTCCCATTTTCAGACCGAAAAAGAGGATCTCAAGAAGTTATTCGACTCCGCCATGAATGCTCACAACCAATTGATGGCCGACTGTATGGATGGAAGAGGTTTTCACAGGATTTTTCTCTTCCATTTTTCAAAAAACTTGAACTTTTAGGATTCGATCGTCACCTATTGGGACTCAAACAAACTCTGACTATCATGAATAAGGGATGTGGTCCAAAACGGGCGATCCCGAAGTTTTTGAAAGATGACACATGGAAGAGAACTGGTGGAGATGGTAACTTCTTGTTGTCAACAAGGTACTGTAGTTTGGAAATTTCGGAAATTCAAAAATTCGTAAACCCAGAAATCCTAAGAAAGCCAATTTTCAGTTTCATCGGTTACATGGACAATGAACAACCGGGAACAATCGGTTACGTGGCTGCCATGAGACCCGATGGATACGGTTGTTTCTATCGAATCGGCAAAAATCGGTAAGTGGTCTAGAATTCCCAAAAAGTTAGGTCATTCATTTCCAGAATCTCTGTTGCCGTTTCTGATTGGGTTGGCTCTCGATCCAATATCGATGCATTCTGTGGTAATATTCTATGGGCTCTCGATGCTCTTTCTCCATTTTTGACTCCTGCTCAGAAATTGTGAATCTGAAAAAAAACTGCAAAATTTTTTTATTTTTCTGCTTTCTGAAATTAATTTTTTTTTTCGTAAACGTTGTTTTGCATTCCTTATAAAATATGATTTTAAAAACATTTATTATATCCCAGGACCCAGGACCCAGGACCCAGGACCCAGGACTCCTGGGTCCAGCTGGAGCTCCTGGCTCCTCCCCTCCTTCTCCGGATCCCGTCCCGGAGAAAAAGGAGAACTGATTATTTCCTCAACTCTTCTCTTCTTTTATAGCAAACTTCCCGAGGACAAAAAAGGTTTCTATTCCATTTCAAATTGTTTTGTCTAGAGTTTGATAAGTTCCTTGTAGTGATAAGTAAAATTATCCACTTACAGTATCAGTATCAGTATCAGTATTTTATCTTTTAATTGAAATTATGGAAATATCTGAATTTCAAAAGTTTCCTTTTTCCACTTTCCTGCAAAAAAAGTAATTTTTCAACAACCATTTATTTTGACTCTTTTTGGGCCGACTTCCGATTCTTTTGACTTTTTTTTTGAAGATTAAAAAATGAACAACGAAAAAAATCAATAAATTATGTATTGATCGAAATCGTTTGGAGCGATGGCAGCGATTCGAGTTCCATCTGGATAAAAGAATCGTTTCGTTGGTGGCTTCCAATTTGGACGAAGGAACCAGGCGGCACCTGAGAGAAATGTGATTACTGTAGGAAAACTGTAGATCATCCATTTGATTCACAGTGTGTGTCAGAGATTGTGTTCAAAGTTAAAGAAGTTTTTTGAATTGGTTAATGCAGGATTACTTTAGATCATTACGGCAGGGCTTCTGTAGATCATTGTTAACGACTACTGTAGTTACTGAACGTCACCGCTTAGGTGTACAGTATGCTTCCCAGATTGTCCGAACTTCAAAGTTTAATCAGTGTTTTTTTAAATTGAGAGTTACTGTAGGACTACTGTAGCTATGTTACAATTTCCCTTCCGGTATTGAATGTACTGTAGAAAGTCTAAAACTACCAAATTACTGTAGATAATTTGTGATTTCTGTGACAAAAATCATAGTTTTTGCAAGAAAAAAAAACTTCCTCATCTTCTAACTTTCAAAAAAATGCGGAAATCTGTCCGGAAATTAGTCTGACGGCTATTTTTTTAGTGAAAATTAGAATCATGGACTATCAGAGAATCAGAAAATCAGAGGATCTGGAATTTCAGATTTTTAGATTTTCGAATTTTCAAAAAATTGGAACTTCCAATGGATCAGAGAACTTCAAAGTTATGAAATTTCTCTATTTCAGAATCTTAGAATCCTAGAATTTCAGAGTTTTAGAACTAAAAATTTGAGAACCTCAATATCTCGAAAATTTTGAAATTCCGAGATTCTGAAAATTGAGAAAAACTGAAAAGTTCAAAAACGCAAACATTTCTGAAAACCTCATTTTTTCAAATTTCAGATTCTCACGGGTTTCCAGAAATGTAAAAAATTTCAGAGTCTCGAAAAAATCCTAAAGTTTGAACATTTTTAGAAGATTTCAAAAATTTTGGAATGCTGGGAACCTTCAGAATCCCAAATTTTGAAAAATCCGTTCATCTGAGAATCTGAGCATTTTTCATGGTTCTAGGTTTTCTAGAACTCCAGAATTTCCGAATCTCAAACTGCAAAAATTACCGTACCTCTTTTCTCCAAAGTGAATTGAACGGTGAGATGGACGAGAGCCAAGGCGACAAGGAGAAGAAGAATTATACGGATCATTCTGGAAAAATGATAAATTAGAGAAAAACTATTACTGTATAATGAGAAACCGTTTCACTATTTTCTGGAAAATTTGAAGTCATTGAAAATCCAATTTTCCCTATTCTAATTTTGACCAAACTACAGTATCCAAAGGAACATTCTAGACTTATATAGTTGAAGAAAACGTGCAAATCGAGAAACTTTCAAAGCCTCCAGGAGCCATCTTCTCAGAGAGCTCAAGTGGGCTCAAGTGTGAAAAAAAGAAGAGGAGGAGAAAAAGGGGGCGGAGCTTATGGGAAAGAAGAGGACGTCATCAGAAGACGTTGTGGAGTGTAGAAGATTAGAAGACGTCACACAGGAAGAGAGAAATAAAAGTTTTGATTTATAGTTTTTGGATTTTTGCAAAATACAAAAAATAGAGAGAGCAAACGATTATGGGAAGAGGACAGAAGATTCTAGAAATTTCTGTTTTTGAAGAAAAAAAAATTGAAGATTCTGGAATCATCTAGTGATATTTAGAGAAAAATATGAAGATCTAGAAGTTTGGATTTCTGAAAATTATGAGATGTAACCTTCGGAAAAAACAAAAAAAATAGTTCCCAAGACATTTTTTAAATTTAAAGGTGGGAGACATGAAAAAAATAATGTTCTCGAAATTCCGTTCAAAGATGCCCCTCGAGGAGTTGAACTTGTGAAGGCGATGATTGAGGGTGCGGCGCCGCTACCGACTAAGCCACGCGGGCTAAGAGAAAGCGGACGCCCGATTGCATACATAAAGGCGAGGACGACAGCTGTACGCAGAGTGACATTAAGCGTTGTACACCGTGACGGTAGAATGCATACTCTAGCTACAAAAAAACTACGAAAAATCTCCTGTCCCCCCACCTTTAAAATTCTGAAGTTTTCCATTTTTTTCCGATTTTTTCCTTATTGTTTGAGTTTCTGACTCCCACTTTCTGAGCATAAAAATTTTCAGATTTTCAGAATCATGAATTCCTGAATTTACGATTTTTCGAATTTCAGAATTTCCTATTTTCTCTGCCAAAAATATTCTATTTTCTCCCATTTCCGAAGCCCTACACTTTTATTGACACAAATAGACTAAAGAGAAAAACAAAATTTTCAATTTCTTGTCATCAGATTTTATTTCAGGAATGTCCCAAAATATACTGAAATTTGAGAAAAAAAAATACACAAAACACAAAAATCTGAAATTTTTTATATTATGGGAATAAAAAAAATCTGGCTGACAATTATAGAAATTCTGGAAATTTCACATCAGAAAAATATTCCAGACATCATCTGGAACTATGGTTTTTTGTTGGATTATTGGTATAATGGCATGCTAGATTTTCTGTAGATTTTTCTAATCCACAAAAATGTTATGTTCACTCTAGTTTGATCTTGACCATTAATTATTCAAATTTCGTGACAATTCCAAGCATTTTCATTCAAATATAATCATTTTTCCGAAATTCCGGCACCAGCAAATCTAATAAATTTTTGATGACACCTTCTCAAAATTTTTCACATTTTTCAAAAAAAAAAATTGGCTGCGGGATTCCAGGAATTGTGCAGAACATAAAATCAAAAACTCAGGGAATCTGAATTTCGGAAACAATGAAACCATTGAAACAAGAGAAATCGGATTTCAGAAAGCAATGAGAACTTATTGGCCCAGAAAACACTAAAAATCATTATTTTATGGTTTGCAAAGAGAAGAAAGGACACATTCCTTCTTTATCCGGACAACCTGAATTCTAAATTTGACATTTCTGGAAGAAGACAAAAATGTGTCAACTTTTGAATGTATGAATTCAAAAATTCCTAGACGAAATACATGTTCTTTGGCTTTTTTCACCCGGAAGAGTATAGAACATTTGGCTCAGAATTAGAATTTTGAAACTAATAAATCTGGCCAGTTTAAAATGAACAATTAAAAAAAATCAACAAAGAAAAATACTGTGAATCCGTTTTTTAATGTTTCAATAATCACTGAATAAGTGTACATACCGTAAACACTCTAATAGAACGACACCCAATCCGTCAGCTTTGAGCCTATGTATTTTACTTCTTTTGGAAGATATCAAAAAGTTGTTAACTAACAAAATGTTTATCATAATATCAACAATATTTTATTAGTGATCCACTTTTTGATATCTCTCACAGAAAATGAGATAAACGGGCTCAAATTTGACAGTTCGGGTGGCGTTCTATTAGAGTGTTTACGGTAAGTGTGAGTGTGTTAAAATGTTCGGCTCTATATGATTTCAGCGGTCCCTAGAGAAAAAAGCGGTCCGCAGTGAAAATATCGGTCCGCAGGGAAAATAATGGTCCAAAAAGAAAATAACTGTCCGGAGCGAAGTTTGCGTTTGGGAATTCAGGAAAACCCCATAAATCCTGTTGTAATTGAATTTTCAATTACCAATCGAATTTTTATGTTGTCTTGTTAATTTTTTTTTACGCCCATGTGTTCCGTACTATCATTAAGACAACACAAAGTTTTATTATAACGGAACAGTATTTAGAAAAAAAGTGAACAGCTTGTTAGTAATAATTTTCGTTTGTTTCATTCTCAATGCCTCCATTTTGTTCATACATCTGTTCATATTCATCTTGGTGTTCTCTTGCATTTTGATATGTTATGTCCGTTATAATAAAACATTGTGTTGTCTTAATGATAGTACGGAACACATGGGCGTAAAAAAAACCAACAAAACAACATAAAAATTCGATTGGTAATTGAAAATTCAATAAAAACAGGATTTATGGGGTTTTCCTGAATTCCCAAACGCAAACTTCGCTCCGGACCGTTTTTTTCTTTTTGGACCATTGTTTTCCCTGCGGACCGCTTTTTCTCTAGGGACCGCTGAAATCATATAGAGCCGAATATTTTAACACACTCACACTTACCGTAAACACTCTAATAGAACGCCACCCGAACTGTCAAATTTGAGCCCGTTTATCTCATTTTCTGTGAGAGATATCAAAAAGTGGATTACTAATAAAATATTGTTGATATTATGATAAACATTTTGTTAGTTAACAACTTTTTGATATCTTCCAAAAGAAGTAAAATACATAGGCTCAAAGCTGACGGATTGGGTGTCGTTCTATTAGAGTGTTTACGGTATGTACACTTATTCAGTGATTATTGAAACATTAAAAAACGGATTCACAGTATTTTTCTTTGTTGATTTTTTTTAATTGTTCATTTTAAACTGGCCAGATTTATTAGTTTCAAAATTCTAATTCTGCCGAATTTCAAGTTTTTTTCCGTAAAATCCGAAAGTTTTCAAAATGCTGAATTAACGAATTTCTGAACCTCTGAATGAAAAAAGAATGGAAATTTTCAAATTATCGGATCAATCAGTTCATCCTACGGTGATTTGAATAGAGCTACAGTTTGAAAATGGAAGCAAAAGAAAACAGAAGAAAAAAAAAAGAGTAGGAGCAAGAGAAAGGTGTAATACCGGAAGTTCTAGGAGGAAAAACAGAGAGAAAAAAAGGAGCCGGGAATAGATCAAAATGTCAACGTGGGAGACATTTCCGGATTTGAGAAAAAAATGTTGTGTTGAAGAAGCCAAAAAAGAGACGGAAGGAACAAATCAGAATGAAGAGGAAATCCACAATTGAAGCTGGTTTCGAAATAACTGGTTTCGAAGTATCACTCAGTTTCGAAATGACCGTTTTCGAAATGACTGGTTTCTAAATGACCGGTTTCGAAGTGACTGGTTTCAAAATGACTGGTTTCAAAGTTTCACATAGTTTCGAAATGTCGCGGTTTCGAACGGACTGGTTTCGAAATGACTGGTTTCGAAATTGCTGGCTCGAAATGGCTGGTTTCGAAATGGCTGGTTTCGAAGTGTCCGGTAGTTCCGAAATGACCGGTTTCGAAATTACTGGTTTCGAAGTGTCGCGGAGCAAAATTTATAGTCTCGAAATTTTTTAAGAAAAAGAAAATCGAAGTCGAAAAGTGTGACAGAGAAAGCAAGGGGTTGATGAGAGATGAGACGGAACTACGAAAGATCCGGAGGAGAAGATTCTAGCAAAATTTTAGATTTTGCAAACAAAAATTGCAAACGAAATTAAAGGAGGCCAGACATAAAAATTTTCAAAATTCTAGTTTTTTGATACATGACACAGTACAGTCAGAAAATAACAATGGACACCGAATCATAACTCCCTGTTACTGTGAGAACGTGACCGTTCTTCCAAGCGGCGGTTAAAGCTGCGCCCACTCCTCGTTTCATAATCGTTTTTGCTGCAGCAGACGACAAGCACGGTGTGGTGTAGAGGTGAGCGCGCTTGGCTGTCAGTCGCGCATCGCGGGTTCGATTCCCATCAGTTCGTTTTCGTTTTTCTTTCTGTTTTCATGCGGCGACATCATAGAATGACCGAATAACAAAAAAAAGTCGGGAATAATTGCCAAACAGTGAAGAAATCTAGCGTATTCTAAAAAAATAAATGCTCGTCAAGTAGCGCGCATTGGGTCGCAATCGCACGATTTTCCGTCAGAATACATGATCTCGCTCCAAGAAAACTCCGTAGACTTTCGTGTCTGGCCTCATTTAAAGAACTTTTTTCAGAAAAAGGCTTTAATTTTTTTGATTCAGAGTTCAAGAGGCGTATTTTAAAAAGTTGTTTAGAAAATTATAGGGTTTTCAAAATGAATCAAGAGCTCTAGAAATCGTTTCAAGAAATATAAAGTCAGACATTCTCAATCTTAAATCTTAAATATATGAAGCAACTTTTAAAATATATGTTTTTATGCCCTTTTCCTGAACAGATTTCAACAAAAAGATAAGAAAATAATAGGGGTTTTCAAAGGAAATAATAAACTCCGGGTATTCCGGAAAACCTATAAAATAGGTTCTTTGTTATTTCCTTTAGATTAAGGTGCAAAGAGATAATTGAAAATCAGGGAAAACGAAAACGAATCGGACGATTTCCGATTCTTAGACTTTCCGTTTCCTTATATAGAAAAAAGGTAAAAATCTGATTCCAAGAATATTCTGATCCTGAAAAAAAGGAAAAAAAAAGATGGAATGATAACATGGAAAAAATGTCAGATGTTCTTTAAGAATTCAGACTTCTAAGAAAGGGGACAAAAAAGAAAGAAGAAGGGTTTGGAATATCTGATTTATTTAATTTTGGAATTCTGAAATCAGAATGTGGAATTCGAGATAATAATTAAAAATGAGAACATAACATGAACATTTTAGAAATATCAAACCAAGAAAAATGTTGTACTTGTACTTGGAGCCTGTAACATTTGGCTCTTTATGATTTAACGGGGGTTTAAACAATTTACGGGGGTTTAAAATATTAACGGGGGTTTAAATTTTTGACGGGGGTTTAAATATTAAACGGGGGTTTTCAGAAGGTGTCAGAGTCATGGTTGGGAAAGTCCCCAAATGTTCCAAAGTGCTACAGTTTCTTGTTTGTTGCTCATTTCAGTTGATCTATTCTTTTCTGAAATCTTTTTTTTTCTTTTTCCATTTCTAAAGTTTTATGGCACTGTTCTAGAATTACGGAACGAAAAAAAACTTTATCCAAGTCTATCATCTAACCCTGGAAGCAGGTACAGGAGGCTTAGAAAGGGAAGGGCGATCAAATAGTTGCTCTTAGAGAGGTTGAATGGTGTTGGCGAGTCAATTGAATTTTCCTTTTTTTTTTTGGTTCCGGTTGCATGAAATGAATACCAATTTTCGTGCAACTTTACGACTAAAAAAAGAGAAAAAACTAGAATTGATGAAAAAAGAAATGGAAATTGTAGTCGTCCAGACAAAAATAGATGGCATCAGATGACATTTCAGAGTCGAAAATGTGTTTTAATTTCAGGAGAAAAAGTTAGAAACATAAAAATGGAGACATAAAAAATGATTCATCAATTAGAAAAAAGGGCAAAATGAGAATTTTGGTGTTTGGTGTGATGTCAATGAAAAGAAAACCAATTGAAAATGGAAAAAGAAATAAAGGAAAACTCTAGAAAAATGGGAAGAAAAAAGACGAAATACAGCATTTAGAAACTTTGAAAAAATAGGAAAATCCAAAAACCTGAAATTAAATCTATTATCTAGGTATACATCAGTGTGTCTTTTCGAGAAAAATGCATCGAAAAATGCATAATGCGGGATTTCGGAGTGTCGTTGCTGACAATGTTTTCTCGTTTTTTTTGCCATTTTGACATGGTGGNCTAACTTATGCAAGTTTGGTTTTCTAGGCCACCACGTTAAATGGCCTAGAAATGGATTGACATGACCCTGGTGTGTTTCCTAAGGAATTTTGAAGCGGTTACCTAGAAAACCAAATTTGCATAAGTTAGGCCACCATGTCAAAATGATATAGAAAACACACAAGGGTCATGTTAGAGCATTTTA